CAGTTTAATTAATATAATATCTAAAATACTGGCCTGAACAATACTCGGATGCTTAACGAAAGCTCGTGAAGAGCAGACTAGAGAAAACCAGGCTGGTTTCAGACCTGGACGTGGCTGTATAGACCACATCTTCACACCATGTCAGGTCCTGTAACACAGATACATATATAGGCGTCCCACTATAGTTGTCTTCCTGAACCTCAAAACGGCATTTGACTCAGTGGATCGTGAGGTCCTGTGGCAATGTCTATCATTAAAAGAAGTATATTAACCTTACACAAGTTCTCTACTCGAACACTGCAGGTCGAGTGAGAACTCATGGCGAACTGTCATCGGAATTGACTGCTTCAAATGGTGTCCATCAGGGCTGTCCACTCTCCCCATTCTTGTTAAACACTGTCATAGACATCCCTTTACAGATAACACTATATTCGTCTGACTTTTCAGAAGTGTACTTTCTACCAGGAGACTTGCTTGTTGACTTGAAATATCCCGATGGCATAGTTCTATTTGGGGAAAACGCTGACAAAATGAAGAGTCTTCTGACTACCCTCAACAGAAATGCAAGCATGTTCGGGATGCGGTTTTCCCCGTCGAAATGTAAAATGTTACTTCAGGATTGTCTTGAATCGGCACCTGAACTGGTGATAGGGAGTGAAGCAGTTAGGCATGTTGACCGCTTCACTAATCTCGACAGTCTCATCAGTGCTGATGGCCTGGTGACTGACGAAATCTCAGCACGGATACAGAAGGCTAGATTGGCTTCTGCCAAGTTGCGTCACCTATGGCGTAGGCGAGATATCCGTTTGGTAACCAAAGGACGAGTAACCTGCACAGCAGTTCGCTCCGCCCTACTATACGGATGTGAAACATGGCCGATGAGAGCAGAGGACACTCGTAAATTGCTTATCTTCGATCATAGGTGTGTCCGAAGCATTGCTCGTGTATCCTGGGACAACCGAGTAAGCAATGCAGCTGTTAGATAACGCGTGCTAGGTAGGGATGGCAGGTCGATAGATGAAGTATTGAAACTTCATCAGTTGAGGTGGTTGGGACATGTGCTGTGTATGCCTAACCACCGACTGCCTCGTCCAGCTATGGTGTAGGAGTAGGTTGGAAGAAAGTTAGGGGCAGCCAAACCAAAACATGGCAGAAATCCATGAAGTCACTGACAAGTGGACTGAGTCATGTTGGTAGATGTAGGCTACCCGGTTGGGATCCGTGAGACGAAAGTCACCAATGGTTAAAGACCTTGAATGACATCGCTCAGAATCGTTTGCAATGGCGCAAGTGCATCCATTCGTTGAGCTCTGTCAAATCCTAATCTTCTGGATTCGTCAGCACCTCTACCTTTGTCTTTCTAACCTTATTTCACTTAATTATACTTCTTGAATAATATCTTCAAACCGTAGTCTTCTTCATTACCATTAATACCTTTACTATCTTTATCACTATGGGATTTAATTTGACATCTGCGTCTTTGTGCTAATGTGTTATGGCCACCTGGACTTATGTACATACGTACGTAGTTCTACGTTGCAACTAACTGACTGACACTGTAATAAATTCTGTTATGATTAACAACTACCTATTCTACTAGGGAATAAGTATCGTTATTATTCTGTTAGTAAAGCAGTGGCAGTTAAGATGTCCAACTTTCAGTCAGTAAGTTTCAAGTCCGGACTTTATTCCATCTACATGTTTCAGTTTGGTCAATAGGAGAATATCACCAACGCTTAAAGTGTACTTCAAAGACAAATAAATGAATCTGTATCAGATAAATACGTCATATTGATTATTTACTGTACTGCCACAACTCTGAAGCTAATGCTCAGCAAACAACTTAACCAAAACGAGTAATAATTTAAATGAAAACGAGGTCACATAAGAATATGTTAGTTACTTTAGCAAAAAAAACAAAACAAAATAAGACCCTGAGGCAAGCAAAAATCCAAAAGATATTTATTCGTTAACGTCAGAACAATTCATAGATCATAGTTATAAAAAAAATGCCAGTTGACTGATTGATTGATTGATTGGTCCATTGAAATTAGGCGGATTAATTTTTTGTAAAAGTGCATGTTCTCTAAGGGCTAATATATTCAGAATGGAATCAAATAAAAACTACGGCGACGGAAGGTAAAAACCAAATGATTTACATGTCAACCATGACGGATTAAACTTAATCTTTAATATCGAAAAAAAAAACTAGACAGCATAAACCCCAAATGACTCATAATAAGGACAGATAATGGATTTATGAATATATATATAGATAAGTATTTCTAAAGTTTACTACATGAATTATCTAAAATAGTGAGTATAACAGCGTAGTGTTTAAATTCTCACAAAACAACCATTAGAACAGCAAAGAAGTAAAAATGAATATATTTTTAAAAAAAATTTGGGTTATTTTACAACGTAGAACTACGTACGCATGAACATTAGTTCATGTTGCCATACCACATTAGCACAGAGACGCAAGTGTCAAATCAAATCCCATATTGATAGAGATAGTAGAGGTATTAATGGTAATGAAGAAGACTAGTATGGTTTGAAGATATTATTCAAGAAGTATAATTAAGTGAAATAAGGTTAGAGAGACAAAGGTAGAGGTGCTGACGAATCCAGAAGATTAGGATTTGAGAGAGCACAATGAATGGATGCACTTGCGCCATTGCAAACGATTTTGAGTGATGTCATTCAAGATCTCTAACCACTGGCGACTTTCGTCTCGCAGACCCCAACCAGGTTGTCTACATCTACCAACATGACTCAGTCCACTTGTCAATGATTTCATGCATTTCTGCCATATTTTGGTGTGACCGCCCCTAGTCTTCTTCCAACCTACTCCTACACCACAAAACATAGCTCGTCGAGGCAGTCGGTGAAAATGATCTGGACAATTGATTTTTCAGGTTATCAATAACGATGTAGGAAGCTTAAACTCTATTGCATCTATTTAAGTTCAAGGTTACGTGTAGTATCATAATTGTTACAGTATGAGTATATAAATCGAGTACATAATACCTATGTTTCAGTCAGTTACAACGCAAAACTTCGTACATACGTACGTACATCATTTCAAGTTGCCAAACCACATTGGCACAGAGATGTAATTGACAATTCAAATCCCATGGTAGTAGAGAAGATTAGGGTTCGAAGATATTAATCAAGAAGTATAATCCAATCAGATAAACTTCAAAGTAGAAAGTTAAAGGTGATGAAGAATGCAGAGAACTAGGATTTGAGAGAAGCCAAGGAATGGATACACCTGCGCCACTGCAAACGATTTTGAGCCATGTCATTCAAGGTCTCTAAACCATCGATTACGATCATCTCGTGGAACCCAACCACGCAGTTTATACTTACCAACATGACTCAATCCAGTTGTCAGTTATGTTATATAATTCAAGAAATAAAATGTTCATTTACAGATAGAGTATATCTACATTGATCATTCAGTTCAGTTAAAAACTAAAAAAGACGTGAGTTATTGGATACGCTTGGTTCTGACTTATTCGTTAACAATAGATTAAATGTCACTAAAAAACTATCTTACATGAAGTAAATGTTATACAACAATCGATCCTATCGTAAAAGTAAGCAAAGAGAATTAGATCAAGTTTCAGAAGGATTAAACTGTCTTATATATATATATACTCAATACACATTCATGTACTAGGCTTTAAGCCACATCCTATTTGTATTAAACAAGAATATTAGAGGAATATTCATAATGTACAAAAGGAAGCAGTAAGAGAGAGATGAATTATTTTAGTATTTTAGAGTCCCAAAACAAATTTTTTTAAGAACTCTTGAAAAGCTTAATAAATTCATTCCCACATAAGTCGCAAACAAGCAATAAAGTTCATTTATAGTTGTTTGAATGTTATTTAGGCGTAAAAGGCAAAGACTTCCGTTATATTACTGCATGAAAGAAATACAAAAAAATAACTGATGACTATAAGAAGTATGGTTTTTAAGACAGGGTTAAATTAATAATGCGAAATGGGTATCTGAATGAAAACAAGTGTAATAAAGGACATACAACGACAACATGAATGGTTTATTCTACCCTGTTTTAACTTTCAAAGAAAAATATGGCCGTCACCAAGGTTATGTAAAAAATTTTATTGTGATACAACATTTGCTAGTCCCCATGACTTTAACTGGCTCCACATGCCCCAATACGGTCGACGACAGGAAGGGTTAGATCTCTCTCTCCAAATGCTGTTATACGGCGATGAATGGATAGCCACTTGGTTAACAGCTTCTCGTACAATGGGTGTTATTTATCAAGTTGAGAGAACAATGTATGAATATCTGGCGCTTACACCGGGTTGTTGGGTACGGACGATCTACTCAGAGGAGTTGACAAACCCTAATTCCAAACCGATGGTGCAAAAAAACAGCGTATGGATTTAGTATTAATTGACAGGCACCATGAGACCGCATCTCCTAACGTAACTCTATTGTTATGTGGATTAGACTTTTGGATGAGGGGTTCAGGGTGAGGCCCCCTGGAAAAATCGACTGAATTTTTATACGGGAGTATTGCTCTATATATGATGGGTGGTAGGGGGAACCATTAGCTAAATAGACACACCAGCCAAAATCTTAATAGTTAACCCTAACCTCTTAGCAATAATTGTGGTTTCAGATGGTGACGAAAATTCTATGGAGCAATAACATCTGCTCACAACACTAACCCAACTCCTAATACTGAAACTACACAGAATAATTCAAAGTTATTATACTGATCAAAGCTATTATTTCGTTTGATAATATCCTGATTGGCTGATAAGTCAGTCAAGCTTGCCAGTATAATATATTTCTACTACGTATACGTTACACATACAAAATTAGTCATTCATTTTTAAGATAGATTATTGACAGTTGAACTGAAGCTCGTCAGGCCAGATGTCCAAAGCTATTTACAACTTATTGAATTGAAATACATTAAAATTCATTTGATTACAATAAGCAATGGGACTTACTGTATTAGATGTGGAGGTATTAACATTATCTTTGAATAAATCAGTAAAATTATACCAAGGCAAGCGTGCCCTTACGTCCAGGAACAGATATAGAATTACGAATATTGATAATAAAAAAATGATCAAAATTAGATATCCATATATTTCAGAAAGTTGGTACTCATCTGACGATATCATTCCCTTGACCTTGAGAGAGGTAATCTGATCTCACCGCTCTTCCGATGTGTAGAGAAACAAACATTTGATTTAAAAAGTAATGAATTTAATGCCGCAGGTAGTTAAGCGATGTTTATGCATCTTACTCCTCAGTCCAAGTGAAAATTCACCTACCGGATTATATAGCTTAAACGCTACTTTCTGCAGCCTGAATGGCGTGTAACATTTAGGATTATGATAACTACCAGTGAGTTTAATTGAGACTAAATTAACAGTACTTATCTATTACATCTGATCAGGGCTGATGTTTGTACTCAAATCATGTAATATCATGTCAAATTCATACTGATTTGTATCCCAGATTACCATCACATTTTATCCAGGCCAAACTGTCTCTGGGAAATCTTTGAAAAATAAATAACACCCTACCAGTTAGTTATATAATCCCCACTGTTTAATGAACCTATACTGTCTGCTGATTTGTTCTTGTCCTAGTTTATATGAGATCCAACCTGGAGTAGTATATTTATTCGCGAATTTACTTTGTTTACCTCTGACTAGAATTTCAATCTGTGTTGAGAACTCATTTGTTCCTAATCACTTAATTAAGGACACCGACTGCTTTGTCTGAAGCGTCCGTCGTGAAAGTTGGTGAAGGACCGGGGCCTGAGAGCGTTGAAATGAATATTCGGACAAACTTATCATTAGATTTTTAACAGGCGACCAAGGCAGCCGAAATCCTAACCAACACACTGACAAAACTGCCGGTTGTTAATCCTCTAGTATTTGCTAACAATACGGGACAGTGGGTGGATGCAAAAAAAGGGGAATGGCAAAAACTCAACTAACAAACGGCTATAACTAAGGATCAGGGATGATAGACTAAATTTGACATTTTATTTAATGTCTTGGTGTCGAAAGGTAGCTTACCAGAAGGGAGGGACGCATTTGATAAAGAACAGTGGGATAAATAATGTGCAATCCTCGGAATGTCCAATATCCCTGCAAAATATGCCGCTTTTCTGAAGACCAGAAAGTGTTGAAACGAAAACCTACTTCAATGAGGGTGACACTGGACTGGGCAGAACTTGCCGAATCTGTCCTCCTCTCATCTCAGAAACCATCGGTTAAATTGTCCTCTCCAATAAGAATCAGGCACAATTAACCGTGGTCAGTACTAGTGGCAACCAGGATATTAGCAGGCACTGAAGAACAGACCACTATGGTAGTTCATGGCGTACCCAAACTGGATGGTGGTAGCTTGGAGGAAGCTCACGTGCACGAAGTGCAACAGTGGAGATGGCTATCACGTAGCCTAGTCCTTCACATTACAGTGGCTATTTGCATTTCCAGACTACCTCGCCCGTCACACCTCATGTTCATTAAGTCGCCAAGTGCGATGGTTGTGGAATTCAGGAATCTGGAAGACCTAGCTGAGGCACTTATGGCTTGGCGTAACTAGAAGGACGACCTCTCTAGCCACATAAGATGTTGCGAAAGCCGACCCAGATCTGTGAGACAACAACAAGGAGGCTACTATAACGCACGAAATCGACAGCTGAATGTGATCAACAACTCCCAGCACAAGACAAGAAGATGATAATTTCGTCGATCGAACGCACTGCACAGGCAAATAACCTGCTGAGGCTAGTTTGAAAATCCGACAATGGCTGTTGTTGCAGAGGTGCACCAGGTGATGAGACAAAACACCAAGTGCTTCTACAACAACGTAAGAGGACCAAGGGGTAAGCTGTTAGAAATCAGGAATATAAGCTCTCATATGGATCTGAAGATCATAATCCTAACTGAAACATGGCTGCCCCCTGAAATCTCAAACGATGACGCGAGCTTGCAAGGCGCGAAACTCTTCCGAAGCGATAGAGTATACCAAACAGGGGCCGGAGTGGCTACATATATAAACAGCCATTTAAAAGCCGAGCGGCTAACTGAGGAGACAGAATCATGTTGATGTTGTTTTCACACAAGCGGCAAGAAATACTTGGTTGAAGGGATTTACCGGCCTCCTTCAGGTACTAAGGCTCAAAAAGACAAACTTACTGAGGCAATACAGCAACCACCACTGCCTAGGTTTGATCAAGTACTTTCAGCCGCAGACTTCAACATTCCATCTCAAAATTTCAGCAGTCAGTATACAACTCCCACTGGTTGGTTCCAAAGACTATTATAAGCTCTGGGCTTACTGATCATATATGCAGTGCCATTAGAAGGATTAAGGAGGAAAAGTCCTCAAATCTGGATTACTTGTTGACAAATGATCAGCTTCTGGTGAAGAATGTCCATGTCCATACACCAGTAGGAAGAAATGACCATGGCACATTCTTGTTTAACAAGGTCATAAACGAAACACCCAGGAAGGACAAAAACGAGCCCTATCATCTCCACGCGCGCATCCGTGAGAACCTTCCACATCCCCCATGGCCACGGGAATGACGGAGGCTCAGAGTAGATAATCACTGACGAGCAGTGAGAGACATCATCCAAAATGCTGTCGTAGACAATGTACCTCAGTCACACCACACACCTGAGAATAGAAGAACCTGGGTTAGGCGCGGCACTGAACGCTTGCTACAGGCGAAGAGGAGAGCCTGGAACAAGTAGAAGGTCTCCTTGAAGGATTCCGACCGCAGTTCTTATACTTGGTATTGAGAAGCAGATGCAATACCAAAGTTCGAAGTGATAGGAGACAATTTCAGATGAAGCTAGCTGCCAAAATATAGGCAAACCCAAAGCACCTGTTTAGGTTCATGTCCAAAAGAAAACCTACTAATCAAGGGTTGTGTTCTCTCAAAGGACCAAACGGGGAAGACCTCACCATCCTAGAGATGGCCGAGATCTTCAGCACTGACTTTTCTGATCAGTTGAACCAGGCGCCCACATGTTCACAGTACTACGTCAAGCCATTGCCAGCTGACGGCTTAGGGAACATCCGTATCACCCCTGATCTAGTACTAAGTAAACTAAAATCCTTACGCCCAGGTAAGTCACCAGGTTGTGACAAAATCCGCCCTATAGTCTTGCAACAATGTGCTGAAGTCCTCTGTTTACCGTTATGCGACCTGCTAAGGCATTCACTGGAGTCACACCAATTTCCAGCGGAATGGAAACAAGCTACTCTCTCTCGAATCTTCAAAGGAGGGGAGAGAAATGACGCAGCCTGTTACAGACCAGTCGCATTACTACCAATTTTATCAAAGGCTATGGAAGGGTTGGTGAACGAGCAGATGAGGGAGTACGTGGATGAGAAGAAAATACTCCATGAAGCTCGACACGTGTCTCGGAAAGGCAGTTCGTGGGAATCCAATGTTCTCATAGCTTGAGACTGTTGGCTCAGACCGAAAACGCAGGTGCACATAATATCTCTTGACGTTGCGAAAGCCTTTGACGCAGTACCCCATGCACGCCTGATCGCAAATGATGTGGAAATGGGTTTCACTTACACATTTCTATCTGCTCCGTATTGTTTCCTTAGAGAGCGATCCCAATTTAATAACCACAGAAAGCCTTTACACCAGCTTGGATTATATAGAGGATGCAATCAGGGCAAATGCAACTCTTCACTTCATGCAAATACGCCTCATCGCTATCACTCCACAGCTATTCATAACGTCGTTTAAGATATACACGCCCCCACACCTGGAGGTTCACAAAGTCACATACTAGCTCGTGAAAAAGATGCTGTATACTGGATATTGATCCCCCACAGCTTTAAAAGTCAACTGCTCTTGATTTTCAAACAAAGGGAACATGTTAAAGGTTAAATAATTGTTCGGGTAGGGATCGATGAAAAAGGTCAATGAGATTTAGTAAACTCTATAGGTGTTTTTGAAAACATGGTATTGGATATTGCTGAATGATCTAATCCTTTCTGAGATTATTGCGCGTCCGAGAAAGTGAAAAGTTTTAACTCCAACAATCTCCACAACCCTCATACTGATAATCAACATTACAAATGTATATATTCGTGCAAAATCATACTCCTAGGTGAGTTGTTCACATACCTAACAAGAGAAAGTAGACTTGACCAGCACGTATACAATCACGAATTATCATCTACGGCTCGAGCCAGTTTTAGCCAATGTGCATTTCGTAACTTCACTGTCATTAAAGTATATGAGTTACTTATTCCGATCTTGCTTATTATCATTTCTATTTCGTACTTTATCCTTTCAATCCGGTCCGCTCTCACTGTTTAGCGAATTATTCTTACCACAGTCTTCTTCCTTAAGTGTTGGAGCCTTCGTTTCAGTAATTAATTGATCACAAATAACCAACCCAACCAACTGTGTGATTGATCCTGGTGTTAGGAAACCTTACTATCCTGAGACAAACTCATTCAGATTACAAGGTTTATAAGTGCATTAAAAACTATAAAAAGATTATAATTACAGACAATAAGTGACAATAACATGACATATGGGTGGAGTGTTGAGAGGAGCGACGAAATGGGTGATAGAGTTAAAGAATATACATTGCAAAGATAGGCTCCAGCCCTTGAAATCACTCCCAATGTGTTACAGGACGATCAGAGGTGATCTGATTGTGGCGTACCACATATTAAGCACTCCAAACCATCCCAACGTAAGCATCTTACGGATGCATCACCACCAATACCCTCGAGGCAATCCGCAACATATTGCACACCAAAGAACGAATACTCAGGTTCGTGCACAATTCTTTCCCTTGACAGTCGTTGCAACTTGGAATGCTCTCCCAGCTGAGGTGACCACAGGGCCCTCAGTGGACAGCTTTGAAGAGAGACTTGATAATCAGGTACAAACGCACGAATCATTTCCCTCTTGGACAAGCTGTACATGATGCATGTATTGAAGCCTGCTAGCTGTTATGATTGCCATCTCCTCAGATCACTAGATCAATTTTTCCCGTCTATTATCTCTTTTTCCTCTCCCTTGCTTACATTTCGGTCCTCTCTCTCAATCTTCACTACCAATTAATTGAATAAATTATCTATTGACTTACTTAGGTCCAAAATCTTATTCACATTAGCACTAGATTTTCTCCTTATTATCTCCACATTTTAACTTACTTATCTCCCGTCTGGTAATGTGATGGCTGCTGGTATCCAGAAACCCTACTGCCATGAAACAAACGTTGTCATTCAAATCACGGGACATATAAACTCACAACCAACTGCCAACTGACTGGAATTAGACAGTCAAATGGCTAGCCCTTATTTGCTGGGAACTACTAAACACGTGGGACCTTACCGAAAGAATAAGAATCGAGTGCAAAGAAGTCTACTGATTTATATTAACTAGTGAAAAAAATATTGTATATTGGACGTTGTCGTTTTTCGTCGTACCACGCTTTTGAGTGTATCGCTACTTGCTTGCACATGATGCCGAGCGACCCAGTGAAATTATATATTTTGCTTGACCAAGCTTCACTAGAGTCTGTTAAGGCATCTAGTGGAAAAGAGTTCCAACTTCTTAATCCTGATCGACACAAAGATCGAATATCAAAGGCTGGTATTGATGCTTCTACAGTTCGCCCAGATATTACTCATCAATGTCTACTTATGCTACTTGATAGCCCATTAAACCGAGTTGGTAGACTTCAGGTTAGTTCACTTTTTATACGACCGTACGTTACATGACCATGTTTGCGGCTTATTACTACGTAATTTAACCCCAAACTAACTGGGACCCTTAAACGGCAAAGTGATTGAACTGTCTATCGATATAAATGCCGGGATATCTTTCAGCCGAAGTACCAATTACTAACTGCTAAGAGATTAGGCCAAATTCATCTATTACGCAAAGAGGTAAAGCGACACTATTACTGTGATGATAGTGTATCATACGAGGAGTGATATAACTGGTTCACCGAACTAAAAAAATTAGACATTTTTATAGTGAAAATCCACTTTAATATTATTTTCACGCCATTTTTAGACTGAGCTTGTAACTTTGGATGTAATATAGGAATCTGCGGTGTGCAAGCATTTTCTTTGCACGTGGGTTGAGTAAACAAGCTGCATATGTTTGTCAACGGACTATAGATCTAAAGCTGGAAATATAGGGCTGACGCCTTAAAGGTTCCCCCTAGTTTAGCAAAGTTCTAGAACTGTGAAACACTTCAATATTATACGTTTTAGGTCCTGTGGTGTACAGACAAAGTAGCTTTATTCGAGAGTCTTTAATTAGTTAACCATCCTAGGGAGTAAACAGAAAATAACCGCACAACTTCGTTCAGAATTCATAGGATTCTACGTACCCTATCACTCAAATTTTCGCCCAAAGTATGTAGCCTACTTTGTTTAACCACTGTCATTTCAATTCAGACATCTAAAGTAATTTGGTCAATGGAAACTAGCACATTCCTAGGTTATAATTATCTTGATTTTTATTCGACTTTTGATAGCGTCTATTCCGAGGAATGAGTAGGCTTTCTCTAATAGATAACTAGCTCGTATTCATCAGCTCAAATTTTACGAGCCAGTTACACGTAAGAATATAACATCATATCATTCTGTAAACGAAGTTAAATGATAAACTTACAACTGATAACCCTCAGCTGAATACGTAAAGTTATTATTTTGCTATGATAAGTCATCCATTAGATACTTAATTCCTATAGATTTGCTTTTCATTTTGATTGTAGTCTTAAACCGATTTATAATCCACAACCTTAGCTGAAAACAGTTTATTATAATGTTACTGACACATTTATTCCAACTACTTTTCACAGGTTTTTATTCGAACACGAAAAAATGTGATCATTGAAGTAAATCCCAAAACACGAATACCACGTACTTTTGATCGATTCTGTGGACTGATGGTACAACTTTTACACAAACTTTCAATACATGCTGAAGGTGGTAATCGTGAAAAACTTCTCAAGGTGAATTAAATCCATCACTTCTATTGATTTTTATGTTTTTTAGATCGTAAAAAATCCTATAACACGACATTTTCCAACTGGTGCCCCAATTATAACAACATCATTTTCAGCAAAAGAACAAATTAAACCAATCCAATTAGCTGAACAGACACAAACACCAAATCCTCAGTCAGTTGTTATTGTGATTGGTGCATTGGCGCATGGTTCAGTGATGGATACATGTAAAGAGTTTACACAACGTACAGTGAGTATAAGTAATTTTCCTTTGTCCGCGGCTCAAACATGCGCTCGTATATGTACTGCATTCGAAGAATACTGGTGTGTTGAAGATATTTTAAGCGGAGAGAAAACGCAAGTAGAAGAAACATGATACACAATTGAACTAACACACACATTATTGATATGTATTATAAGAATGATAGTATGTAAATAATAATAATTTTAAAAAAATGCCCAAAATCGTTTGAAAGATTCAACTTGTTTGTTTGTTTGTTTAGAGAGAGAGAAAAAAAGAAACCCCATTTTCAATAGTCACCGATAGCATTCTCCCAAATATTATATATATATGAGGAAAACAAAACCCACGTAGAAGAAACACCAACCAAGCTTGAGAAATGATAAAAAATAAGCCAAACGCACGCGCGCTCACACACACACACTATGATAAAAATACAGTTGTTGTTGTTGCATTCTAAGAGAAAATAATAGAGAGTTAGTTATGCAAGCTTTTGATCAAATGAATGCAATAATTGAAAAAATTAACAACAAGTTATTATTAAACAATGATAATAATAATCATGAGAGAAAGAAGAACAAAATAGATATCTATCTATCTATTCATTTTATTGAACAATAGGCATAAAACCAAAATTAACCAATGCCAACACTTGAATTTGTTTAATTTCATCCGTTGACGATGCAACAACACGTTGTTCCAATGTAGTAGTGGTAGTAGTTGTAGTTGTAGTGGTTGTTGTTGCTAATGTCTCAGTGGTAGTGGCAGTTGTTGTGTCTGTGGTTGGTTTATTACTACTACTAGTTGATAATCCTGTGGCTGCGGCAAGTGCAGCAGCAGTTAACAATGTAGTCGATGTGTTTTTATAATCGAAATTTATGTAGATTGCAGCTTGTAAAGGAGCTAGTAGTGTTGGTTGTGGCTGGTGTTGTTGTGGCTGCTGCTGTTGCTGTTCAGATTCACTGATTTGTTCAGTTGTCAATTGATCTTCTTTTTCGTCTTCTTTAAGTGGAAATAAACTTGAAGTGTGAGATGTCAGTTGGATGTTTGTTTTTGGTATTAAACTAACATGTATACCTAGTTTGTTACCACGACGAAAAGCTACAATCCTAATTGAAATATGAAAAAAAAAGTTACGAAATAGTAAAGTGATGCAGTTTGATGTTATATATTACTATTACTATTATTACTATTTTTAACGATTTCACACTACTGTTATATACTTTTACGGCCAAGACAAAACATGGTGAAAATCCATCACGTCACAGACAAGTGAACTGAGTCATGTTGATAGATGTAGGCTACATGGTCGGGGGTCCGTGTGACGAAAGTCACAGATTGTTAGAGACCTTGAATGACATGGCTAAGGTTCATTCATTCATTGTGTTCTAGCAAGTCCTAATTCTCTGCATTCTTCGTCATCTTTATCTTTCTCTTTTCAAGTTTGTTTCACTGAATTCTACTTCTTGAATAATATTGTCGGATCCAAATCTTCCCGATGACTGCTAATATTGCTACTGTCGTTACCACTATAGGATTTGAACTGACAGTTGCATCTCTGCACTAATGTGGTATGGCAACCTGAACTGTTGTACGTAAGTACGTACGAAGTTCTGTGTTGTGACTGACTGACTGACTAACTACTGTTGTAGGTTCATTTGCAATATCCTAATTCATTTAAAAGCTTAGCTGACTTTTGTTAACTTGTTCCACTAGTAGCAAAATATCTATCTATCTATCTACTAATCAAAGGATGGTGTTACTGTGCATCAACAATCTGCTTCATTCTTGTTGGCTATGAAAACATAACCATCTTTGAATATAGAGAATATATGTAAGTTATTAGTATTCGATCATAGGTGTTTTAGAACGATGGCCGAAATATATGAGGACTATAAAGTCAGCGATACTTAAGC